CCCCCCCCCCCCCTTCTCAAAGCACACTCTACGATTGCCGCTGCGTGTGCACCCCTTTCTTTTGGCAACCAACAGGTTTGTGAAGTCGGACAGCGGCGACTCCAGAATGTCGGCGATGGTGCTGCGGTCGTTGGGCGACGAACACGAGGCTGCCAGCTCTCCATACCGGCACGTCGGGGCGGACACGCCCAAGTCGGTCATATCGGCCGAGCGCTTTCTCGTGGCGTGCGGGACGCGACCCGTACGGTGAGGGGGAGGGCGGGGGCCAAGGGGCGGGGGGAGGGGGAGGGGGGGGGACGGGGCACACGTGAACGTTCAAGAAACAAACCGTTGTTGTTGGGTTGTCTAGGCGTCGAGAGCGAGTCAGACCGATGCTCGATTCGTCTTGACCTCGCCGCCTGCCATGTGGTGGTGGACTGCTGCAGTCCTTGGTTGCTCAGCCTCTGCGCCGCCCAGAGGTCCGCGCTCTTGCGCACGATAGCTGATTTCGTCGCCGCGCACAAAGAAGTCTTGCAAAATCTTCACGAGGCGGACAGCAGTTGCGTTCTTTTTTTTCCTGTAGCCAGCCTGAACAAGCTGGTCTGACCAAGGAGCGGATTGAAAGGTTGGAGCGGATTTCCCACGCGTTTTTTCCGAAGAATTAGAACCTGAAATTTTGACACGGCACCTGCATGAGTACAACAAACAAATAAGCCACTGCGCCATTTGGATTTTTTTTCTTCATGCGCTAGGCTGATATCAGTAATCATGGGAATATTTGCTATGCGAAAAAGTCGCAGAAAAAAAGAAAAAAAGTCAAATGACGCAGTGGCTTATTTGTTTGTTGTACTCATGCAGGTGCCGTGTCGAAATTTCAGGTTCTAATTCGAAAAAACCGCGTGGGAATCGCGATATCCTCACATTCTCTCAGGTATCTTGTGTGTTGTATCGGATTCTTCACGAGGCCATAACTTTTGATGCAAGATGCCTTGAGCCTTGAAACTACCATCTATCCTCTCGCGATGTTCCCAGGTACATGCGCAGCAATTTTCAGCTTGATCTGAGAACTTTGTTTATGCTGATTTTAGTACAGGAAGCATCCCCCACAATGCCGCCAATTGATAATAATATACCTAAATCAACTCAGCTCCGAACAATTCCGGCACCTGCGCTTTCCCTATGGTGTTCTGAGAGCAGCCGCCAAATTTGAAGTCTAAATTCGTAGAAACAGCAGAGTGGGACGTGCAAGAACGAAAGTTAGCTTCTTGGTCAGACCAGCTTGTAGGCTATCCGTGATAATGTTCTTGCAGGTGGCAGTTCTAGCGGTGATTGTCCGTGCTCTTTAATTCCTCCATAACGTCTCCTCTTCGCGCTGTGCTTTTCGCTCTAGATCGCTGCTCAGCGGTCTCTGCTCGCCCGTTTGCTCATCCATGGGTCGCGGTCATTTCTGTTTTTTGTTTGTGCTTACCTTCCCCTTGCCCGTTCGTGGTTGCAGGCCTCCCGACATTCCCTTCGACGGGACGCATATTTTCGACTCGGATCAGCTTCTCTGGGGAGGCATCACCCACATTCCCAGGTTATTTTTTTTGTGTCTTTTGTGTTTTTTGCGCTCCTACAAAACTGCAGGCAGCGGTGGTTCCTGCTGCTGCTTCTGCTGCTGTTTCACCGTAAAGCGAGCGTTTCCGTTCTGTCTCTTTGCCGTCTCCTCCATGGCTCTCTGCGTGGTGCGCGTTCACACCAGCAGGTGCCTGACTAGGTTTGTCTTTCTCCTGTCGTATCGATGTTCGCGTTTTGGGATGCGGGGGGGGGGGGGGNGGGGGGGGGGGGGGGGGGGGGGGGGGGGGGGGGGGGGGGGGGGGGGGGGGGGGGGGGGGGGGGGGGGGGGGGGGGGGGTCGGATAGCCCGCGTCTATTCGAACGAGTGAGTGGAATATTCTATGTTTGCTCTCGCATATTTTGCCGTGCTTCCTTTTTGAGCGACACGTAGACGGCCTACGCGACCGAAGGAAGGTGAAGCCTGGGACAGCAGGGGTACGTGTCACCGGCCTTGGGCACCTTCGGCACCTTCGGCTGACTTGCAGCCCTCGCTAAACCTAATCTCTGTCTGTGTGTGTGTTTGTCTGTCTCGCTGTAAATGCAACCTCGAGCGGACCGTTTGAAACGTTTGTCTTGCACACTTGCCAACATCCTAGTGAATACCGTGACGGGGGGGGATTGTCATGAGCGAAAGGTTTTGTTGTTAGTCCAGCCCACCTGCAGACACCAACAAAACTATTAAACGAAAGGTCTTATCGTGGTCTAACCCCGCCTCAGGACATCTAAACACCAAAAGGAACCAAACTGTGCTGTTGGCTGTTACTCCTTCGCTGTCATGAGCGAAAGGTGTTTGTTATGTCCAGCCCGTCTGGAGGCATTAGAAAAACGGAAAACTATTTCTGTCGTCATCCAGCCCCGCCTGAAGACATCTGAAACCAAAAATAGTATGATAATCGATCGTTACGTACCGTCGCCTGTTGTTCCCCGCTCTGTCGTGAGCGAAAGGTCTTAATTTTAGTCCGGCCCGCCTGAAGACACCAGCTAATCTGTCAAACAAAGGTCTCATCGTAACCTAACCCCTCCTGAAGACATCACAATAGTAACAGCAATGAGAAATGAACTTGTTTTCCGTTGGTTGTGTCCTCTGGCCGCAGAGACCTTATCGTCGTCGGAGCCGGGGTCATCGGGATGGAGTACGCGTGCATGATCAACGTCGTACCGGGGACCACCGTGACGGTTATCGACCCGAGACCAACGGTGCTATCCTTCGCGGACAATGACGTCATCGAGAACCTCCAATACACCATGCGCCAGAACGGTGCGTCACGCGCTTCCGAAAACGGGGCAACATTCTCAACAGCAGTCTACGCAGGTTTTCTTAGTAAGAAAACATGCTGGATAAAGTATAGGATCAGCTAAGTTGGGGTTAGGGTTAGGGTTAGGGTCTGCGTGCCCGCTGCCTTCTCTTTTTTCGTAATATACTGACTTGTTGCGTCGGCAGTCTCTTGGCTGCCGAGGTGGTAACCCGGAGTGGTGGAGCGAGTGGCGATGAGTCCGGTCTCAAAGAGATATGGCCTGGGTACTGGTACTACCCGCGACCAGACTCTAGGAAGATGGGCATGACAAAATTAAAAGTGGTTTGTGGGCTGGGACATTAACGGGACGGGACCAACTTTGGTGATGGATGCGCCGGTTTTTGTCGAAGCACGTGCTTTGCAGTGCAAAACATGATTTATCGGCAATCTTTGAGACGCTAACCCGACGTGCTTTGCTGCTGCTAGGCTTTCGACACTGCTCCATCGCGTTTTTGAACGGCTTCCAACCGTAGGTTGCGTAAGATATCACACCCTCTGGACCGATTTTCAAAGCTCGATTACCTGGCAAGCGGTGACGATGCCGAAATTGCATCGATGGAACCGTCTCGTGGAGAATTTTTCAAAATCATTTGATATCGACATCCCCTTCGGCGTGGAGAACACGAGCTTTGAAAGCCGGTCCGGGGAGTGTTGTATCTTTTGCGACCCAGATTTTTTTTTTTTCTGTCTTCCGAAGCATGTTTGTTTTTCTTGACCGTTGGTTCTAGTTTTTTTTTTTTTGGCAAATGGGTGGGGGTCTTCTTGGACCTTTTCATGCAGATGTTTACCCTACCTTGGATTTCGCCTGTGACCACGGAACGTCGTTCCCGTTGTCTGGAAGAGGCGCGGAAGATAATAAATACACAGCTACGTAAAATTGAGTTGTCACGTGTTAAAAAACAGCTTCAAGATCAAGAGATACCTATGCAGACGGCCGCGTTTTTTTTCTTTTTTTTTTCACGTCCCCTCGTTGGTGCTTCGCCGGAGACAAGTAGAGCTTGCCCTCATGGATTTTGCCTCCCTCGGTGCGAACAACGCCGATGCGGCGGCACGCGTGCTACATTGAGGCACTGAAACTCTCCCTTTGGCTGCGCTCGCTCGGCAGGTGCACGCTTCCTCCTAAACGAGCACATCACTCGGATCGAGAAGATCGAAAAGAAGGACAGCAACGGAGGTGAGAAGAAAGTCTGGGCCGCCTCGCCTTCGCGAGGAATTGAGTTTACCAGGAAATAGAACCGGAAGGGGGTACGCAGACCCTATCCCTTGCCCAACCCTGACCCAACTTCCCTAATTGCATTCTTTATCCAAGATGTTTTCTTGAACGAAAAACCCTGCAAAGGCTACTGGAAAGTTGTTCGTCGGTTGGTCTCGGTGTTGGTGTTGGTGACGCTGCTTTCGTAGCAGTCGCAAGTGGTTGCTGGGTCTCCTTTTTTTTTGTTCGGATGTTCTTGCTGGTGGTGCTGACGACGGTGGTTGCTTACTGCTGCTGCTGCTACTGCTGCTCGTGTGACGTTCGCTTGAGTGGTCACTAAACATCGCGGATCGACCGCGACCAAGTTTTAACAGTTCTTGGGGTCAAATCAACTCCATCTGGTAGGGAACAACGAACCGGGCCAGCTGGTTTGTCGCAGCCTCGGCCGCGCTTCGGATTGAATCAACAGGCCCGTTAGCCTGGCGATCACCCTCACTCAACCCCCTCTGGCGCTTTCCCGTCTCATCCTTCCACTCGCACACCCTCCGGGGCGGGAGGGGTGGGGGACCCCGTGAAATAGTGATTGTACGCGCGAAGGGGGGGGGGGGGG